AAAAAAAAAAAAAAAAAAAAAAAAAAAAAAAAAAAAAAAAAAAAAAAAAAAAAAAAAAAAAAAAAAAAAAACAAAAAGAAAAAAAAAAAAAAAAAAAAAAAAAAAAAAAAAAAAAAAAATTATTATATATACAAATACTATATATATCAAAATAAAAAAAATATATATAGAGAATGGTGATCCTAGTGTAGTGGTTGGGTTGTCATTCTCCAAATGGCAGGTTTAAGGTTTAAATTCCACCTATAACGAAATTTGGAAATTATATTTGCATTATAGTAACTGTCTCTTGTCAATTGGTGGCCTCATATAGTTGTTACCTAGGTACACCAAGTCAGGTTCTACTGATATTGGGAGCTCAAACATCTATGCAAAGTGTAACATTACATATACATAAAGGAATGTATAACCGATATTGCATAAGACTTCAGTACAAACCTACAATAAGACCATCAGGCATAGAAGACTAAGGAACCAAGTTAACAAAAACCTATTTGGAAATTCCTGAGTAAAGAGGTAGCATAAACTTTTAACAGTACTATCGGACCAGTTGAAGTCTATGAAACACCTTTATAGAAACTAAAGGTTAAAACTGAACATCAAATATGTGTAAAGGAGCATATAACCAACCAGGCTATCGAATTCGCTAAAGGAAAGAATACAAAGTATACTATACTGGGCTATCTGAATTAGTAGTCTGAAATGAGACTAATGGTTTTGAGTTGCAGCTAGTAGAAGATAATAAAGAAAATGCCAGAAAGATAGATACTGGGGTTTTAGTAAACTTTACAAAAGTAGAAATAGTATAATATAGTGATTAAACAGATAACTCTGTGACTGCAAGTGTTAGATAACTATAGCGTATTGCATAAAACTAGATTTATATATGTAGGACATAAAGGTTCTAGTAAGTTTTTTGTCAAAGATAAACTAGTTCTAAGTGTAACAACAAGCATCAGAAACTTGGATAGGTGTAGCCTTGAAATGTTTTTATAATACAAAGAGGATTGCATATGCAAAAGGTTTAAATAGCATTACTATAATCTATGCTCGGTTTTTGATCACGTGATGTAGATCCATGTAGAAAATCGTTCAACATATCATCAGCTTACATATGTACATATATAGAAGTTTCTAACTTTACATATTCGCGTACAAATTAGCATAATATAATTTTGTTGTATTTAAGATAGTGTATAAAAAAAATATAAATGTTGTGTAGTTTATATATAATACCTTTCTTTGGGTTTAAATGGTCAATGAAATAGTATAAAAATATAAAGCTCACATGTTAATATGTGCATATAGGTATAACTAATTAATCGAATCATGGTTATTTATTCTTTGCTCTTTAAATATATATTAAGTTAAACCATCTTAAACGAATCAATTTATTATCAAGTATGCGTATTATGGAGTTGTTATAAACATTGAAATAAAATTAAAAACTTTATTAATGTATAAGTTTCAAGTATTTGATCTAAAGAATATTAAATGTTTATTAAAATGAAAGCAAAAACAATAGTTTGAATAGTTTCAATGAATGGTTAGTGATGTAAAATGGGTTGACTAGCTTGTATATTCATGATAATAAAAATAATTAGTCAGTGCTACTACTTAATATAATATGCTAGTACTATAGTAGGAGGAACATCAAAATAAAAAATATAATAATATTTGTATGTTACATTATGACTACATTTTATGTTTCAATGATTACTTTTTGCATTTTATGACATTTTAATAACTACATTTATTTTGATTATTTACATTCTGATGATGATATTTTGCATGATTTTTAAATTCCCAATAGCAAAGTAAATATAATGTTTACCTCATTTTTTTTTAACATATGAATACTATCGACGTGCCTGCCACTTCAAAAAAAATGTTATCAAAATCAAATAATAAAATTATACAAACCTCTATACCACATATCTCTTTGTCTCAGGATATTGAGTTACAAAAGATTACAATGATTAATCTTACTACTTTAGAACATTCTTTGCCTTTAAATTACCATTATATTGTTGATTCGTTTGAACCATTTCAAGCATTAAATTTTTTGGGTGCATTTTCTAATCCATTTGAAGCAAAACTTCATGTAAATATCTGTACAGTTGATAACACTACAAAATGGCTTGATGAATTTTTCAATCTGCACAAGACTACTATGTGGGAAACACAGGGACGAATCATTAAAGGAGTTAAATACCTTCTTTCTAAACGATTCCATTGTATTTATAGTCATACAGTTAAGCTAAAGCAAGGACTAAAAGAAAAAAATAATGATAATACTAATGCAAAAAACAAAACTATAGATAATAAAAAAAATCAAATAGTTAACACATGAATACGAGATACTGACTGTCCAGCAACACTTAGCATACAATTACGGAATTTGTTTGACTCATATCCCTGTATAATTTCTTTAAAATTTCATCATAATCATCCTCTCACATTAGGCCATGTAACAAGCTTTCGTCCTATTTCTAATGAGACAAAAGAAGTATTTTTTAGGCTTTTTCATGCTGGTTACAATCCCAGTAGTGCTTATCATACATATATAGAGGAGATATAGTTAAAGTATGATAATGATGAAGCTATTCTTGCTGATAGAGCAATTTGTCCACATAAACACAATGTTTATTATCTTCATCAGAAATACCTTGACACTTTTATTGGCACATGAAATGGAAAAGAAATGTTTAGTCGATTAGCGGAAGAAGTTACCGAATTTAATTCTAATAGAAAAGGAAATGCTTTAATGCAACCATATATTGCATTTACAAATACTGACCCTGGGCAACCATTTGTTTTAGTTATTGTAACAAACCTTATGAAACATTGCCATGCTTTGCAGCAAGCTGACGAATTAGTTTACATGGACAGTACAGCAGGCCTTGATGTACTTAACACCCCAATGACAATCCTCTCAACAAGCACACCTATCGGTAACTTGCCTCTTGCAATAATACTTACTTCTGATGAAACAACTAATCCTTTTACAAAAGCCTTAGATATGCTAAAGTGTGTTATGCCAATATCAGCTTTTAATGGATGTGGGCCTGTAATTGGACCAAAAATTTTTATGAATGATGATTGTAAAGCAGAAAGAACAGCATTAATAATATATGGAATGAAGCAACATTATTACTATGTGTTTTTCACTTTTTACAAGCAGCATGGAAATGGTTATAGGATAGCAAGCATGAAATCAATAAAGATGATAGTGTTGCTCTTATCGAATATTTGAAAAAGATAGTTTTTGCAAAAACTGAAACAAGGCTTGAAGACACACATATTATGTTTATATCAAGTCAAGTGTATTTAAAATATCCACGTTTTCAAAAACATTTTGAAGTCATGTGGGAGCAATGTAAGGAATGAGCTATTGCATATCGCCAACACTTACCTGTTCGAAATAATCATACAAATAATTTTTCAGAGGCTGGAATTCGAGTAATTAAAGATGCTATATTTGGTCGAATACAAGCATACAATGTAGTACAAATTTTTCACTTTATAATTAATTCAATGGACCTCTATTATATGCATAAATTGCTAGCAGTTGCTCATAATAAACTTGCCAATTTTATTGCACATTGGTTTCAACTTTTAGGTTGTCAAATTGGATCACTAGATGATATTAAAGTTATAAATTATGAATCAATGATATATAAGCATCGAAGTAGCAAAAATCCTGATATATGGTATCTTGTAGATATGCAGCTTGGAATGTGTGAGTGTGATCCAACAGGGGTTCTATGCAAACATCAATCCTCTATAGCAATTCACTATCATATATGTGGATTAAATTAGTTACCCACAATGTCTATAGTTGGTCGATACAATTATGCTTACTTAGCATTAGAAGAAAAATATAAAGAACTTAGCTTTTATGCAAATCTTCACCAAGCACAAATAGATAAAAAGTCCATAGTTGAACCTACAGTGTTGACATGTAATACTTTAATTGAAAATGCAAATTGTAATTTCAATAATTATGATAAAGAAAATATGCTTTCTGGGTCTTCAGCTATGTCATTTTCTCAATTTTTAAATAATGAAGCCACCGATATTGATAGTGGTGGTAAGAGTGCCAATGAATCTAGTATTAATGAATCTAGCAATGATAGTAATGATAGTGAAAATGATGAAAATCTCAATCAATTAACTGTAAATGAATTTTGTTGGTTTTATAATGATATAGAAAATCTTATTAAAGAAAATGATCCTATATTTAACAAAAGTGTATGCAAGTTTATCAAAGCCTATAAAAAATGCCATTTGATACAAGATACTCATATCCGTCCAGCTATAGCTTCTTTTTTTCAAACTTGTGACTGGAAGGAGAATTGAATAAATGGTAATAGTCATCAGCATGGTGGTAAAAGAATTAAAGTTCAGGTTGCTTCAGTTGCTAAACGTAAAGGAACTGCAAGTAAAGTTCGAATAAAGTTACAAGAAAAGCCAAGAACAAGTTTACAAGAAACCACTCACAATATTAAGGAGTTAAATCATTATGTTATGCATGCAAGATCACGAAGACAGCAAACAAAATGAACACATAATCTAAGTAAGGCCTTGGAAAAAAATCGGCCAAATAGTGTTATATAAAATAATTAGTAAATGTATTTTTTTTTTTTAATCTTTTCATAAGATTTTTTTTTTTTTTTTTAATCTTTTCGAAGATTCTTTTATGATAATATGCAATTTTTTTAACACATACATTCATATGTGATAATCTTTTTTATAAGATAATCTCTGTAATTCTCTGAAATTAATGCTTATGATTAAGTGCATATACCGATACGTAATGATAATAATATTGAAATTTTAATATGCTATTATATGCTACATACATATTATAATTGAAATGCAATTGAAACTATATTGATAACAAATGTATTAACCTTGTAATTAAATCAGAAAGCTATTAATTTATAATTAATTAATCTATGCTATGTATTTAATTTACCACTAATGCTAATCTTAATGCATTTATTTGTATAATGTTAATACTAACATATTGCGATATATAAGTAATGTTAAGAGAACTCAGAATAAACTTCGATTATATCAGATACATGGAATTTTTTTCTTGCCGCATCATATTGCTGTACTGTACGTACATACGAACATACAGAATAAAAATTGGTACATATGTTGAATGATTTTCTGCATGGATCTATATCACATGACTAAAAATCGAGCACAGATTATAACAATGCATTAGATATTAAAATTTGCAAAAATATTCAAATATATGTAATATATTGTGAAAGATTTTAATTTCTTTTAAAATTTCAAAATTACTTCTTATATATATAAAATAATTTATTTTAATTTAATTTCGTTTCTTTAATATTTTATTACTTTTTAATTAATTTCAAATTTTATTTCATTTATTTTCATTATGTTAACTATTATTCAAATAAATTAATTAACTTTGCATAATATTAATATATGTACATATATGTAAAAATATTAAAATTTATTCTATTAATATTAAATAAATGCATTAAATAAGTTTATATTAACATTTCTATTTTTAAAATTGTGCAGTAATTTAAAAAAAATATTACATTTTTAGAAAATATAATTTAAAAAGAACAATTAAATTATAAATAAAATTTATTAATTAAATAACTATAAATAGTTAATGTCAATATATAGATCTCTGATCAATATTTATATAGATAATTATTTAACCTTGTTTATTTTTTTATTTGATTATATTGACAAATTTTGCAAATATTCAAAACTCATAAACTAGATTTGCATATCTGCACAAACTTTAAATACTTTGAAAAACTTTGTCACTTTTAAAAAATTTAGAAGATTATACCTATTAAAGATTTGAAGATTTTTTTTAATTAACTGTTATTTGCTTTTAACTAACTTTTTAAAATATTTTTTATTTATGAATATGGCAACCTAGTAAAGTGGATAGGTTGTCAACTCTCAAGTGGCAAGTCTAAGGTTCAATTCTCACAGATGACGAATTTTGGAAATTATATCTGTATTATAGTAATTGTCTTTTGCCGATCGGTTAGATTTTGGGTATCTGTAATCTTAAGTACACCAAGTTGGGTCCTACCTGACATTAGGAGCTCAGGGCATCTATGTGAAGTATAACATTACATGGTACATGTACATAGAGGAATGTGAAAAACTGGTGTTGTATAAGGCTTCAGTGCAAATCTACAATAAGACCACCAGGCATAAAAGGCTAAAAAACTGAAAATATAAAAACTTACTTGAAAATCTCAAGTAAAGAGATAGCACAAACTTTTGATAATGCCATTAGACTGATAGAAGCCTATAAAACACCTTTATAGAAACTGTCAGATAAACCAGATAACAAAGATGTGTAGAGAAGTATATGACCAACCAGATTGCCAGAATCACCAGAGAGAAAGGATACATAAGTATACCATATCAGGCCATCTGGATTGGAAGTTTGGGAAGTCAGTTAGTTCCAAGTTGTAGCTAGTAAGGGATGATAAAGAAGAAGTCAGAAAGATGGGTACCAGAATTTAGATGAACTTTACAAGGATAATAGCAGTTTAAGAAGTAACTCTGACTGCAAGTGTTGGCCCCGGTCATAGCATCAAACCAGGTTAGCAGTAAAAGGAAATATGGCTCACTCTGGTAGGTTTACTTCGAGGATAAAAATAGTCTAAGGATTATAGTCCTATGGTCGAATGGCGAATAAATCTGGGTCTGTGATCTGATGAAATTAATACTAGAGTTAGATCAAAGGGTTTAAATGAAACATCTAAGCAGGGGTGTTAGGTATGGCAACTGATGGGGAACCCTCAGGTGGACTTCTTAAATAGGTAATATAGAAAAGTTACATGTATAGCTAGTTGTACATTTGTCTAATAGTTCATTATAGATACATCTATATAAAACATGTACCTGCTATAAGTATTAATAAAAAGCTCGGACCAAAGAGGTCACCTTAATATCAAAAAAAAAAAAAAAAAAAAACAATGAGACCAATCTAAACTTCAATATAAATTTCAAAACTATACATTTTAAAACAGTTTTGGGCAAACTGATTATAAGGATTATAGTTATTATTATTCTTAAAATAATGAATATGAATGGTTTATATATGAAATATGTATAACACAATACTTTGTATATAATATAAGATAGAAATAGAAGTGTGATCATGATACTGATATAGTAATCTGTATTACATTTAATACTAAATAAATGTTTCTAATTCTGAATCTGGCACCAAAAGCTATATATCACAAGTAAGAAATCTTTCGTAAGAGATCCTTATTATTCTGATAAAGTTATCATCTAAAAAACTGATGTTCTTATACTTCTTGGCATATAACAATAAGAATATAATAAGAACAAATACTGGTACAATTAATGATATCTTGTAAATACCAGCTTGCATCTTTATATAGTTTATTAAAACTACTTTTAAACAAAAAAAAAATCAGAGTTTTAGAGTTTATAACACTAATTCCTTATACTATTTTGATATCAAAACAAAAATCTCAAATATGAATGAATGTCTTTGTCAAAACAACAATGAATCTTAAATAATAAAAGGTAGAATACAGAAACAATAGTTTTGTAAATTGATAATAAATTATCAACTATGATATTAATCTTAAACCTTTATAAATGACAACAGTTTAATGATTAGAAGTATCAAAA